TCACATTCCCAAAACCAGCAGAACAATGGGACATCGCCGGGAACATCACCTCAAATCTCTTTATTATCTGAGAAAGATTTTTGAGTTTAAACAAGAGGATGCATTTAAGAAGCATTACATATGCGGGAAGTGCAACACGGTATGTGAGAACCTAGATGTAGCGGTATGCGAGTGTTGTAAAGCGGATGTAGATAAGTCAGAATATTTCGTCACGCTAGATGTTGCCAGTCAACTCGAGGAATTGTTTAAAGGTTAGTTACAATTTTAGTTCAATTTATTCTTAGTAACAATGTATAAATACATGCAACATCAACAATGCTAGCTGAAAAATCAAAAGTAAAATTGTTCATTTAAAATACAATAATCATATAGGCCTAAGTTCACTTCGAACAATTCACAGATTTAAAAGTTTTCATGATGTACTGTTAATTTTACTACTGTTAACACGTCCATTAATAAAACTGAAAACTATTCCACACCAGATAGGCCAATATTACTGCTAGTGTAACGAACGCCGTTTGTGTGAACACTTTGGAATTTTAAGCCGTGGATTAGCTTACGCCTGGCGTAAGCCACGCCAGTCTTACGCCGTGTGTGTGAACATAGCCTTAACTACTGGTTCGATAGAGGGCGGCTCATAACATTTGGAATCGTCAGCATTGTCTGCTGATCGTGGCCGATCTATCAGGGAGATGTAAATGGATTTGAAACGTCACAAACTGTCGTATATTTATTTTTTGGTGGTTTAACAAGAATTTCCATGTTGTAACTAAAGTTTGTAATGAAATCTGGGAAAACGTTGACCCACTGAAGCCAAGATGCAATACAGGAGTATTATACCTACACCAGCGAGTTGTTAGAGTTGTTATTCTAAATAACAACTCCCTGCCTACACATATGCCTATTGTTTCAAAAAGTAGGTCTATTTTGGAATGAGGAATTTGCTACAATAGGCTACTCTGAATGGAATTACAACAATGAAACACATTTTTATTGATTTTGTATAGGCCTATACCTTTAAAGTAGTTACTTTGTTTTTATAATCACATAGACCTATAACAATTATAAACCCATACATTGGTCTATCTGAAACGCTGGCGGCGCCCGACCCTGGTAGGCCGAAAGATTCACGGATATAATGATGCACTGTTTTGGAAATGTGGATGCTGGTTATCTTTGTTTGTACCAAAAATACGGAACCTACATGGATCAAATTCACATATATCATACTTATATATATTAGGAATCGACAAGATACATATAAATCTGACATTATATTTTTTCTATTTTAGTATTCAATTTTTAAAGTCATTTTCGTTATCTCTTTGGATGTATAATGACGTGTTTTTAACCATACTTTTCACGTCATGACTCCGAGAGGCAAGATAAAACATTTTCCACATTGATGTTGCCGTTTAACAATACTTTTAGTATGATATCATTTTTCATTTGATTATGATCTCGAAAATCACTTGTTGTTTCTCTTTGCAAAACTCAATGGAAAATACTAGGATATTTGTTGTTTTAATATTATCCTTTTCACGGACAAATTAAATAACATGAACAACATAGATGTAATCGAAAATAATATAAGAGTTGAACTAATCTTAATTACATTTTGATAGACGTATTTAATTAATTTTTGCTGGTCGTCATATATCATTTATTTCGCCAAAATAACAGGAGCCACATAAGGGTCTATACGACAGATTGCCTAAATGAAAAAATGCTTGCTATCGATGGCCTCTCCGTCTATCGACAAGAATTAAAGAACTACTTAAAAATAGTAACTTATTACAGAATATATAATATGAAATTGGATATAAAGTATTGAAATCATAAAAAAAAATTTATAAATATAGTTGCACCCATCACTTTGATGGTGCACCCATTAACAATATAAAATATAAACAAAGGAAAGCAAAAGACAGTTCAAAAACAACAAACGGATAAATAGCATAACAAAAACAAAACCAAGCAATTTACAGTAAAGTTTTACCCTTATTTGTATTTATAAAAAATTCTTACTATAATTTAGTAAGTAAACTGAATGAAACACACTGAGCTGCACAAAAACCTGTACTTAGTAGTCTTGTGAAATTACCGGAACGTCGATTATTTATTTATTTTATTTATTTATTAATTTTCTTTTTCTGTACCGTTGCGGATTTTAAGGGGTCCCAGTCGTACCTGCCTCCTAACAATATTTTCCCAAAATAACAAAAAAAAAATGGAGAAAAAAAGAAACTTATAGGCTCTATTAAAATTTAAATGAGAGTAATTTCTGGCCATCTAGAAGAGCTATTGAACATAAATTTTCTTACCTCAGCCCCAACCATAGTGGGACTGCGGTGGTATTATCACTCCATCTGTTAAAGTCCTTCCAAGGTTGATTGTAAAAATAAAGCAAGATAGGCCTACCTTTTTCTGTAGAAAGCTATATGGCTATCATACCATAGAGAAAATGGAGGTCTGTACCTTTGATCTTAGATCGATGTTACTCCTTCTGTTCTATTTTCTCTATGATCATACTAGTATAGATTTCTAACAAAAACAAGCCAATGTCAGAAAAACAGTAGCATTACGATTTTCTTGAGCTTGCGAGCCTAAGTATTGGTATGACAACATATATGCCTTGGGTCGCCAATAATGGGGAGTCTCTGAAAGTGGGTTGCTCCCTGAACAAGGTCGAGAAGCAGGGAGATAGATTATACTTATTACTAGACGAGAAGACCAGAAGAGTCATGAACTTCGTCCGAAACATATTAAACTTCTTTAATTAAAAATTAAGAAAGTGGTCCTTATTAGATGGAAGATTCATTAGGACCAGCATATTGTACCCCTAACCTCTAAAGGGGGTACCGCAAAACCTCGAATTTAAGACCTGAGCTTCTTTTGTTTTGCGAACTTCGAATGGGCTTCTTTCCGAGGCCACTTTTGCAAAGTAAATAGGGGAATTCTTTTTAAAATGAATGCTGTAAATTTTGGAAATTAGTTTTACAAAACAATAAATAGGGCCACTGTAACAATAATCTTTATCTTGGAGTGCATTAAATCACCCAAATTATTGTATAAACCAAGCATATTTTTAATTTATTTTGTTTCTATGACTATAGACCCTACTATCTCGAAAAGAAGCCTATGCTATCTTGACTGTTTCTTTGAAGTTTATGTACAGTGTATGTACTGTAGGCGATATCTCGAAAAGAAGTAGGCCTATGTGCTATCTTGAAAAGAAGCCCATGGGCTTCTTTTCGCGGCTAATTTTGCAAACTGAAGAGGTGGGCTTCTTCTCGAGATTAAGCCCATTGGGCTTCAATTCGAGGTTTTACGGTATACGGTACCATGAGTAGGCCGATATGAAAAGGCTAGGTAATCTAACAGTCATCTTTGTGGTTCATTAATGCAATGGCCCGAAATTAAAAAATATGGAAATATAATGTGTTTTAAACTATGTGAAATTTCTAACCATACCTGTTAAGTCTTGACGCCCAGAGGCCAGTTTAAACATTTTCCACATTGATGTTTCCGTTTGAAAATTTCATCAATATTGCACAATTCACAGGTAGGTTTCGGCACCTGAAAATCAATAGTTCTAAAAACGATATATTTAAAAACTATGATGCCCTATACTATAGTATGTATAGTAATAATGGTATCTAGTTTTAATTAGTTACTGCTGTGACTTTGATATTATATCGAGAATATTATATTATGATAGGTCTACGTGTTGGTTTCAAATGTTCCAGGGACATTTTTATTCTTTCGTATGTAGGCCTAATATGTCGAAGTTTAGAAAAAGAATGGAACACACACAGAAATGCATTACTCGGCACACCACGATTTTATCAAAACAAATTTGTTATTTTCTGATAATTTGTTCAATTATCATCAAGTTGTTATAAGGGTTGGCAATAGAAACACATTTACACAATGCTTTCATAACGGAAAATGTAGCCCAAACTTTGCAAATGTCGCTTCAGAAGTCTAGGCCAGCCTAATAGGCATAAATACAGTGGCTTGGTAGGCATAGACCAACTATTCGAAATATAATTTAATGACTCACCTTGTACAATAGGCCTACCTAGACATTTTAGACTTGGTTTAATGGGTTAAAAAAAACGATATCTACATTTACCTAAAGTAGCATTTACATTCTTTTTACAAACCTAAAATGAAAAACAAATGAAGGCGTTTCGTCTGACGGATTTTTAACACACTAATGCACTATACTATACTGTGAGTTCGTATGGCAGGTTTCAATATACCAAATAACAAACTTGAAATTCATATTAATTTTGTTAAACGATATTTATGGACACAACAAATTAATGATAATTAATCAAGGCATACTCAAACCATATTATAAGAACAGTATCTGCAAGTAAATTCTAAATTCTGGTAAAATCTATAAGACCAAAATTATCATTAGACATACTTTAATTATTGAACGGCTCAATTCGTTTGATCTGACGAATATAAAGGTAAAGGTTCGAAACCTGAAGCAGGCCGGAGAGCCCATCTCACTTACTTTAGCGTTTGGGCCAGACTGTGCAAGGCTGTGGGGGGTTCGCCACTCCTCCCGCACTCCAGTCTGTTTTACCTTCCCAGCATATGCCGGTACACATTTATACACCTGGGTGGAGAGAGGCAAACGTAGATAAAGTGTCTTGCCTAAGGACACAAGCGATTTGCACAGCGAAAGTTTGAACCCCTGACCTCAAGGTTGAGAGTCCGAGCCACAACCGCTTCTGCCAGCCAACCGATTCTACCGAACAAATCCATGCTTGTTGCCCCGTATTTTCACAGAAATTCGTCGGTAATGTGCGTATTTCAACATAAAAAAAAATTGCCGTTGCTATACTTCTACCAAAAGGTGACGATGCCACATCCAAATAGATACGTTAATCGCCATTTTTATGTAGGTGTAGTGGCTTACACTAAGCTTTTATCATAAACGCAATAAAACTAGTTCCGGTAAAAGTAGTTCCAGTAAATTTCTTTAACAATAGGCTCTAATTATGATATTATTTAAAACGTAACATTTACTGTATCTTATTTATAACAGCAGATATTTGCATATTTATTAGGCCTATGCCTATAGGCTATTCCATGTCACCAAAAGTGATAATATTGAATATGATAAACAGGTCTTTATGGAATATATTACAATAAACATGATTGCCTGATTTTTAAAAAGTACATTTCTAAGTAAAATCTACTGAATTTCTTCACCATATTTGTAATTAAAAGAAGAGGTGGTTTGGTTTCCCAACACTGCAAGGTCGGGGTTTCAGTCCCTCACTGTGTATCGTTTGTGTCCTTGAGCAAGGCACTTATCTGCATTTCTTCTCTCCACGAGTATAAATGGTACTTGGTGGGGTTAGTAAACAATTAATATAGTACTCACCTACATCCATCGTCAACAATGCACTGGATCTTGACTGCATCACCATAGGCATATATAAATAGGCCTATACCTTTCCGTAGATGAAAGCCCCGCCGACGTGTGGCGTATGTGGTGGTAAGGAGGGAATTAGGAGTGATCGAATACTGGTGTGTTCCTTTTGTGTAACATCAACAAGAAATAACAACAGCAACAACATAAATAATATAATAATAAATAAATAAAATAAAATAATAAATAAATATTAATTTTATAGACACTGAAATAAATTCAATTTAATAAAAATATAAAAATAATGTATGAAAAAAGCAGAGTGTACAGTTTCCAATTTCCAGACACCATCGTATCGACTAGACCATGGCTGACCGGACGAAGAGTTTCTAACCAAGCAAACAAAAAACGGCCTCAGCTAAAACGAGGAGGCTAGGCGAAATCACTTTGTCAGAGCTCGTAGGCCTCAATGGGGCTCTGAGGTACATTGTCAGAAATCATAAACCAGGTCTTTCTTTCGGAGGGCAAAGAACAGTGTTAAACAATTGAAGACTGTACACATGCTTTTATCAAAATTTTCCCTCCCATGCTATTTATAAAAATGTACCGTATTGAATGCAAATTAAAAGGGCACCACAAGGTGTTTTTATTTTTTGCGACAAGAAGTATGCTTATATTCATATAGTGTCCTCACGAAAAAGTTTTAGCCTATAAAAGGAATTGCAATGGATTAGGTTCCCAATATCAAAGTTGTTGATTCACCAATTAAAATCATTCTCCCTAGTACGACTTAATAGTCGTTTTTCTTTTTAAAAAAAATCCGCATTATTAAACTGCATTATAGTGTTGAATTATTAAATTATTATATGTCAAGGCTTGTCGCAATGTTTGTTGTCTTAAGAAATACCGAAAGCATTTATAAGTTTAATTCTTGGAAAATCATATCCCTTAATACAAAATGAATTGCAGTTGTGAGCCAGATGTTTAAAAAATTCGGCCGAATTATTTCTAGATTCACATAGGCCGATAACACCTTTTAAGGAAATAACTTGTTTCCAAGCTCGGTACTGTTAGTGGTGGCGTGGTATGGACAGTGTAGTGCAAAGTACTTGGGCCCGGGATAAGGGCCCGTTCAATAATTCCTCTATCAATAATAATTAAAAAAAACACGTTTTGTATTTTATTAAGAGAAAAAATAAACAGTCAGCGAGCCCTCAATAAACGTTTTAGAGGCGATAGTATTGTGCTCAATTCACATGTTATATTCTTTTTTCTTAACAAAAACTGAAAACATATCAGGCCCTAACATAGGCTATTGTTTAAATTCACATGCGGTTCGTGTAAAGCTAGAACGGAGGAGAGAAGAAAAGGAAACTTGCTGTCCTTCGTTTAGTCATCCAGACAAACCCTATAAAATAGTATAATCATGGCTTAATAGGCCTACTTTCTTCTGTTCTGTTTTTGGGTGTTTTTTTTTCCAGCGCCTTTGCCTTGAAATATGATTTGCGCTACCGATCGTAGGCCTATTTTTAAGCTGTACTTCAACGTCGTAGCTGTGACAACACAACAAAAACATGACACCAACAATAAAAAAACCCCCCAGGATGTAATCGATTGGAATGGATCTAATTGAGAATAACAAAAGGCCATACAACCATCCATACGAAAGGACATGGTGGAAATATTTATATCAATACGCAATGTTGTGACAACAAGCCTACAATCAATAGACTAAAAATATATTTACCTAGTAATGAGACTGATAGACCTATGATGATATTGGTATACAAAAACAGTAATAATTAATTTATATAGACAATAAATATGAGAACAAAAATACTGTCTTTTCACTATGTAACAAATTCGTGGTTCTATTTCCAATTGTGTAGCATCCAATAAACACAACCAACTCTTTGAAAATGTTATTATAGAGATGGGATGTGGTATAAGAACACTGAATCTAAGTACAGTAATAAATAAACGAAAACCAATGTGAAGTCCTAGCGACAGTTCATTAAGAAAAAAAATTATACAATAATGATAAAATACTAAATAAGGGCTTTCGAATAACGTAATCGTCTCACATTTATGTACCAGAATCATTTATTGAACATCAATAGGCCCACAGTATATCTTTTACTATATTTTACGCATGATTAGCACATAATACAGTGGACGCGGAAACGAACCAACAATGAATGTCACGCTTTAGTGACTCAAATATAAACATACTGCACAGTAGTAAAACTATCCCCTAAGCGCAAGTGCATTTTTTTACCCACCCCCTCCCCACAAAAAAATATATGTATATATGTTTAACACTATTACGACCCTATTTAAACAAGCATTACTGTACTTCTAAAATTTAACAGATTTAACACGTCAGGAAATGGTGTGTTGATTTGTTTACACTAGCTTTCTCTATGATACTGTGTACACGTTACTGTCAACGCAATAACAGTGGTAAGGACTACTCCGTTAGTGCATAATATTTCCTTGAATGTCTATTTCAGTATACCACATACGACAATAATATTACATAATACTATTGAGTGTTCTATGTAATGTTATTCTCAACTCACCCATTTTACTTGCAAAATAATGTCAGTCGCTTCATTCTAAAGTAAATTAAGGTAGATCATAAGGCACATCCTCTAAACAGGTATATCAAATTTATTAAGTAGTTGGTGCCTTCAATTAAACGTACAGGGCGACATAATAAATGTTTTCATCGTGCAATTCGGTTCTTCAACGAACTATTTAGAATTGCATTTTAGAATTTTAGTCTTAATTTTATGTTAGATGTTTAGGCCTTGATCTGTAATAATATTTAATATTAAACATGTATTTTTCGTATGTTTGTTTATGTCCAGTGGCGTATCTAGCAGTCTTGGGTGAGGGGGATGGAATACTGGAACGAAGGCGAAGATCAATAATTAGGTGAGGGGGTATTATATCGTAATTTGAGGCGATTTTACAGCTTCAGCCTATCAGTGATTTTTTTTTGGGGGGGGGGGGTAGTATTTTTTGGTGATTGGGACGTCCTCCCTGCCCCTAGATCAGAGCCGTAGATAGAGAGAGTTTGGCCACCCAACTCCGTTTCACGGGATTCGATATACGCGCGTGTGATTGAGTGGATCGCAATCACATGACATACACCGGCCATGTTGTCACCAAAACAAAACATTAAAGCTATACGCGCGCATGCGCCTGGGCTGTTTGGTAACGACATGGCGTCCATGCGCGAAGTTGGCCAAACTCTCTCTATCTACGGCTCTGCCCTAAATACGCTACTGTATTCTTCCAAAGGCACTAAATTTGGTACAGACGTTTGCCCTTACTATACGTTTTCGATTTATGCCTGGCACCAACATAGGTGACCCCCGTAAGATCACCTAATTTTCCATATAGGTCAAAGATCAATAACAGCATTTCCAGTCATTTTCTGCAAATGTTCTATTAGTCAGACAAAATAAAAATACATAGATTTTGAACAATTCTATACCAAATGCAAATGTCTGCAACAATTACCAATATAAAAAAAATACATACAATATAGGTCAGAAGTCAACAAGGGCATTTCCGGTCATTTTCGGAATTTCTTTTTATATTAAACTAAATATCAATATATTCTGAACAGTTTAACACCAAACTTATCCTTGGGCAAGGCACTTTACCTACGGCTGTATCTCTCCACCCAGGAGTATAAGTGGATACCTGGTAGGTTCAACCACAACCATGCGTTGATTGCAGCTGCAACAACTTTATAGCCTGGTTCTCACAGAAGCTCTAGTATCCAGATCGGGAGCTAACCGTTAACGCTAACCGTTAGCACCTACGTGAGAATGCCCGATCGGTTAGCGCTAACCGTTAGCAGTACCCGGATACCGCTAACAGTTAGCAAGCGCTATCAGTTAGCAAGTTGAGCGTGTTTCTATCATTAACCAATCGCATGCACGCATTTACAATTTCCAGTTTTTTATTGGCAGTGATTCGTTCTTCAAATTTTTGGTATCCGGATCGGGATTTTCTTGGATGGAGGCAAGGCAGCTAACGGTTAGCAGGATCCAGATCCTGTTAACCGTTAGCAGCCGTGTGAGAACATAGCCTAAGGAATTCTCCCAAGGAGCCTGAGTGTGTGTTCAGTATGTAGGCCTACTTGATCCAATGACCAGGGGTAATAATGTGAAACGCATAGAGGTCTCTACAATGTGCTATATAAGTCAAAAATTATTATTATTATTATGAAAGGGCGCCATTTTAAATTATGCAAATTAGGTGGTATTTGATGATTGTCAAATTTTGACCTTTAACCTTATTTTGGTCATGTGACATTTTTAAGGACAAATACCTCAGAAACTTTATACATTTTAGGTATAGGTGTAATGGAGAAAAGTGATCAGTGTATACCTTTCTAATGGTAGGCCAACATGACAAATACCTCAGAAACTTTATACATTTTAGGTATAGGTGTAATGGAGAAAAGTGATCAGTGTATACCTTTCTAATGGTAGGCCAACATGACATGACCATAATTTACACAGCACGTCGGCCATCTTGAAATTCAAAATGGCGGACCTTTTGCTTCAAAATTAGATCACATGACCAAACGTTTTTTTTAACCATGCACCCATATACACCTATTTTTGAAAAGAGATTGGGTGCACGTGAAAGTGCACATGTGACATAAATCAGCTTACAGAGTACAGTATGTGTCGAAGATATTTTTCCACTTTGTTCAAATTATATTTATTTTTTTCTATTAGAATACAGCTTTGGGCGAGTACCACATTTTTTATGGATTAAATATTTATGACATGAATATCCATGTTCAAAATCCAGTTTGGAGAAAATAATCTTTGTCACAGACGTTTCTCTCTTCTTTTATACAGTACTTGTGTCTCCTTTCTAGTTCAATACGAACTTCTTCACTTGTTTTTAAACTGGCAATAGCCAGATAGTAAAGCATTTATTTACAATGAAATAATTCCCCTATTGTTCATCTGGCCATCATCTGATGTTGCTTCTCCTTCTTTCGAACATAATAAAGAAGGTGAAGAAGAGCTGCAGGGGTCATGCCTTGAATTCGTCCAGCAGCACCAATCTATAAACATATGCAATTTTATTTATGTTAAAATTAGTGCTACACAATTTGTAAAACAAAAAACACTTACTTTTAAGACAATGATATAAGCCTGGCTCAGATGAGAGCTCTAGTATCCGGATCGGGAGCTAACCGTTAGCACCTGCATGAGAACGCCCAATCGGTTAGCGCTCACCGTAAGCAGTACCCGGATACCGCTAACGGTTAGCAAGCGCTATCGGTTAGCAAGTTGAGAGCGTTTCTATTATCAACCAATCACACGTATGCGTTTACAATTTCCAGTTTCTTATTGGCCAGTGATTTGATCATCATATTTTTGGTATCCGGATCGGGATTTTCTCCTATGGACGCACGGCAGCTAACGGTTAGCAGGATCCGGATCCTGCTAACCGTTAGCAGCCGTGTGAGAATACAGCCTAATACTTCCATCACTTAACAGGAGGAAATATTTTCTATAGAAACTCGTCCATTGTAGGAAAAAAAATGTATTCAAAAAATAAACATACAACTATTAACTTACAGTCGACGGTCGAACCTGTGCTAACTTTTCTTTCATTTCACGGGACAATACAATTCTAGAAAATAAAAAGGAAAAAAAAACATGCTTTAAGATAAAATGAAATTGAAATGAACCACTATTGCTTCTACCAATTTTTTTTAGAGTTTTATTTTATGCTATCTTTTGTCAAATTTACTACTGTATGGTTAAAGTAGAATAATTTAGAAGCGAAAAGGACCTTCGTCAGAAAAAACATGTCCCTTTTTACAAGATTTGGATTGCTAATGTACTGACTACTGTCTATAGAAGTTACATAGTTTTGAAAATAGGAAGTATAAACCAAAACTTAAATTTATTAAATATTTTACCATTGGGAAGATTTTGCAGCCTTTTATTTTTGCAATTTTACAATTTCCATTCGTTTTCTAACATAATTCTGAAACCTACCATTATTTCTTTAGCCTATATTAGAGCACCCGATTTTGGTGGGTTTCTCCCGATTTTCGAGCAATCTCCTACCCTCCCGATTTTTAGACCAGCTACTCCCAGGCAGCTTGCCTGTGAAGGCTTGACCAAGGTTTTTTCAAATCAAAATGTTAGAAATGTAGGCCTAACAAAGTTAAAAATGTTTACCAAAAGAGTTGTTATTAAATCAAGGCGAGACTTTCATTATTCCTTGTTTCACATACTTATATTTCTTATGATAAGATCATCAGAGGAGGGCGGAATAAAAATAAGAATAAAATTTTGTTTTCTTATTTAGCGAATAGTTTTGCTAAAAACATCCAGATGAAGGAGAAACTAAAAATATAATTTTATTAGTGAATATAAATAGGATGGTTAAATGCTTGAAATTTATATAAATAGGAAGAAATATACATATCTTTTCTTTGGAGATTTCAAGACAGCGGAGGACGTAATAAAAATAAAGAAAAAATTATATTTTTTCTGAAATTTACACTATTTTGTGGCGGCGGTTGCGCTAATTGGCAAAAAATAAAATTTTATTTTTATTTGAAATCATCAATATTTGCAGTAGACGGGTTTCGCTAAACAAGGTATATAAAAATTTGAAATTTCCGAGAGCCTGCCAACTACAACTTGGAGACTTCCAGAGGCCTAGGCATTTCAGTTAACAGTGTTTACTGTGCTCTGTCATCGGTGGATGACCTTCTTGTAGAGGCCTAGGTTAGTCTTTTAAAACAAAATGACAAAATGAAAAAAAAAAGAAAATAGGGGCACAAAAACCTGCAGTGTTTTTGGTTGTTAAAGTACTCAAAATAAGATACGTGTCTGGAAAAATGAAATTTGCTAGGCTGCTGGACGTCCCCCTGTGGAAAGTTACGTTAATAATGGTGCTGTTTCATTGGGTGATGGTGACGTAATTCCATTACTGTACTTTAGCAAATTGAAGTAAAAATAAGGTACCGTATCTCTATCCACGGCGAAAAAATAATGTTATAGTTGTGAAAACAACCACCCACTGTTAACATGAGAAATCAATGTCTAAGAAAAGGTAATATGATTGTTCAAAATAGTGTTTATTTACTTATCCTAGCGTTCTACTAGGATTCTATGCTTTGGAATTTAAGTGAGCCTTCATAAACCTTAAAATGGATATGAAACGGTTTCTAGAAATCCAAAATCTTGTCATCATTGTTTAGAAAGTCAT